CTGGCGAGGTGCTTGTCTGGATGTCTCGGCGGGCCGCCTCGCCCCGGGGGGAAGTTTCCGTCTGCCGCTGCCTCTCCATGTACTCGGCCTTGTTCTCGTCGGCGGGCACGAAGTCCGCGGCCACCCGGAGGAAGAGGACGCCTCCGCCCCGAAGCGCGCCGCATCCCCGCCTTGGGAATACATTTGCCCCGAGTGGACGTTTCCGCCGCCTCTGCCCCTTCACTGCATCGCGGAGCAGACCTTCTACACTTTCCTTTTCGGAAAAGGATAAATTATTTTGCTAAGTTGCGCGCTGTTGGTGCTGCTGGTGCACTGCAGGCGGCGCCAAGGCGGCGCACTGCCTTGTCGGAAGAGGCGCTTACGCACCGTGAAGGGGCGCGGCGACCGCCCACTTATTTTTCACTCGGTGACTTGACAATTGGGTCTGACCGCATGGCCGGTCGGCCCTCTAGTCCGTCCAGCCCCGCCCGCCCCGCCCCGCCCAGTGGGGCTTCCTTTCCCTTATCGCGCGGCCCGCGCGCTCCTTCCTGGGGAGGGGGGGGGAGGGGTGTTGCTCAATGGATTTGATGCAACGGCGCCGCGAATGAATGGGTGAATATTATCGCTGCGCCGCGCCGCGGCCGTCCGGGCCGTCCGCTCCGGGCACGCATGGCTGGCCAGGTGGACGCTCTGGCCCTGCCCCTCCACTGCCGCCGCCTGCACCGCGGACCACCACCGCGGACGCGCGGGAGGTGGAGAGCAAGACGTCCGAAGGACTGTGGATGTCTTTTGGCGGCCCCGGCGTCGACGTGGGAACGAACGAAACGGTCGTGTGTGACTGGTTGACAATTTTTTTTCAAACGGGAATTGGTGTGGTTTTTCTGTCTCTTCAAGTTTGGAACAAATTTTTCTACTTCGGTCTCGGAAGCGGCGTAAGTGTCCACCAGAGTGGCCTTCTCTGGCACCGCGGCGTCTAGTTTGACGGCGTTGTCGTCGCGCTGCTGCCGAGGTGAGTCCTCGGCGAGTCGGTGATGGCGCGGTGAAACGCGGCGCACGATTATTACCGTGGTCGTGTGGCGATTGTTGTGCTCCGCCCCGTTGTCGCTTTCATCCTTGGTCCACGGCCGGCACGGCATGGCCCGGCGTGGCTTGGCCCGGCATTGTCGCGGCTCCCATAGGGCCTCATGCCGCTCATGACATGCCCATGCACGGACGGAGAGAGAGAGAAGGCTACTTGTCGCGAGGAAAGTGCCGTGAAGGGGACGGCTAGCTGCCTGCCTGCCTGCCTGTCTGGCGGCGTCGCTCTGTCGCTCCGGTGGAAGTGACGTCACCGCCGATGGATCTGCCGGCCGGCCCGAAGTGGACCGGGGCACCGGGGCGTCCTGGAGAGGAGGGTCGGCCTTCCAGGCCTTCCAGGTCTTCCAGGCCTTCCGCCCCGCGGGCTATCCGCGTCCTGGCTCGCCGAGGGAAGTCCCAGCGCCGCGCGGAAAAAAAAGATGTCGGAGGCCGCCGCTTCGCCCCGCCCCGCCTTGGTGCCGCGTGCCTTCTTGAGGTGCCGTGCGCTGTATGGCTGCATGCGGTGCGCGTCCAAGGCGAGAGAATTTCCCGTCGCAGTCCGAATTAGATTCTGAAGGTTCCAGCGCGTTGGCGGCCGCCGTCTGTGTCCGGCCAGCGCGGGCCTCGGCCGCCGGTGCCTTCGTCCTTCTGTCCCTCTCGCACCCCGCGGAACGCCCCTTGACGGCGACGAAATCACCGCGGCGCGGCGTCCAGGACTCTGCCGTCGTCGCCGGCGTCCTCGTCCTCCCCGTCCTCCCCGTTCGGCCCGCTGCGGGGGCTTTGTCGCTCTGTCTCTCTCGCACCCCTGCGGGGCGCCCCGTGAGTGCGAAAGAGACGGCGCGACCGTTTCGGGAGGCGCCTGGCGCTTCCGCTGCATTGTGGCGCCGCGCTGCGCCGCGCTGCTCCGCTCGATCGGACAGCCTTTTGCCGCCTCTCCTCGCCGATAACCATCTTGAACGGAAAGTGAGAGTGAGTGGGAGCGCGGCGGCAGCGCGGCGCGGCGGGTGACGGTGCACCTGTCGTGTCTCCGCTGCTGTGCTACGCGCGCCGCGCTGCTCGCGATGCTGACGTCTGACGTCGTCAACACGAGCAGGGGAGGAGGACAACACCAACCAAGTCCAGCACCTCTTGTTGTGGTTGTCTGCGAAGGGTTGTTTTCGTACTCTGACGGAAGATTGAGCCCACTGCCTGCTGTCTGCTGGGACTGGACCGCGGCGGTCCGAGCCATAAGGCACGCGACGGGAGCCCCTTATTAGCCCCGTGGAGGTGTGAGTGTCTGCCTGTCTGTCTGCCTGTCGGGCCGGCGGAACAGGACGGCAGGCCTGGGAACGGCCGGCGGGGCTGCCGCCCGCTGCCGCCGGCAAGGACTCCCGCATACTGCACACTATAATCTGATGGCACCCGCCGATGGCGGCGGTGCTCATGGGGCTCATGAGGCCCGTGCGCCCGGTGCTCGGTGGTCGTATTTCGCGGGAAGCGACACGGCATGTCAGGGCTGCTCGGCTTTCCCTTGCTTGCTTGGCGCTTTGCCTGGCGGAACGCGTTCGCTGCAGTGTGCTGGACGTGTTTATTTTCCTCCGCTAGCCTCAGGCTCGGCTTTACTGCGCGCTTCGCTCTTCCGTGGAGCCCTGCCCGCCCGCGGCCTGTGAATGCGGACACGCGTCTTCTGGATTACCGTGATGGTTTCATAATCTTGGGAAGTTTTTCGGCGCCATCGGTCGCTTCTGGTCCGCGGGCGCGCGGCTGAGCTCGCTCGCGCCTGTCTGGTGTGTGAGCAGAGGGTGCCGCCGGCGTCCCTGGGGACCGCGTCAGCGAACTCCAAAACCCGCGTCAAACTGTCGGATTGGATTCGGAAACGAGTAGCCGACCCCCTATTGTTTTGGCAGCGCAGGGAAAGCCCGTGTCCGTGTGCCCGGGGGGCGACGTGTGTGGGGCCGCACACACACATTCGCACTCTGCACTGCGCGTGGCTGTCGGTGACATAAAGTTGATGTCGTCCGCAAAAGAGGTGCCAGGAACCGTAGCAAGCGAGCAAGTGGTTGCGCAAGGTGATTCTCCTTGGGATGCTGCCGCCTGGGCGTGGAGGGCGTGCAGGGCGTGCAGGGCGTGCTCACCGCCCTGGCGGGGCGGGGCGGTGCGACGGGGCGGGCGTCTGGCCTGGCGTGGCATTGTTGAAGGCACCCACCGCCGTGTAATACAGCAGCGCCCGCGTTCGGAAGTCACCGCCGCCTCTGCCGCCCTCTGCCCGCCTCCGCCTCGTTCCCCCGGTTCCCCCTTTCCGTCCTTGTCGCTCTCACCGGAACGCGCGCGGCACGCACGCGGCACGCACGCGGCACGCACGCGGCACGCACGCGGCACGCACGCGGCACGCACGCCGCACGCACGCGGCACGCACGCGGCACGCAGAGGCCCAAAAGAGGCGCATGCCGACGCCGGCCGACGCTAATGCGCCGTGCATCCCGGTGTGGCGGGGGGGGGGGGGGGGGTGGCACCCCAAGGTCTAGATCGGTCTTCTTGAGGGACCGGACCGCGCGCCAGGCGGGAAATGGCAACCCGGCCAAACGACTCTTACAGTGTGCCCGGCCGGCCCGGCCGGACTGTTGCACCTACACTGCACGATGGAGTGAGAGACACGGGGCGACGAAGACGACTCTCGAAATGGGTCTGCTGGAGCAGTGGGCCCCGCGATGGAGAAATGCGGATGGCCGTATCGGGCTCGCCATCTGCACAGCCCGCCAGCCATGCCGCCAGTTATCTGCCGCCAGTGTCGCTCCGTCTCCGTCGCACTCGCGCCGCTCTCCGGGGAGGTGCGAGAGGGACAGCGCGACGACGCGCAGCCGGGGGCGGTCGTTGCTTTTCGGCTTTTAGGTTGCCAAAATAATCGCGGGGCATCTGGGAGGAAAGCGACAGCAGCGACAGCTTGTCGTAAGCGGGCGAAGCGGGCCGCCCCGCTGCACTGTAGGCGGTGCAGCTCGGATATTCGCCGAAACGAGTGCTGGCGGCAGGTTCGGTGGTTCGAATCCCGCCGCCGTCGGCACATGCTTGTTGTTGTCGTTGTTTGCTGTCTGAGGGCTAGGTCATGGGCCGCGCGGTGGCGTGACGTGACTGCGGGTTGCGTCAGGTGACTGCACGGTGACGGTCTCCGTGACGGTCTCGCGCCGTGCCCCTGGCAGCCCCTGGCTGTGGCTGTGGCGGCGCCCGCCTAGTGTAGCACTGCCCTGCTCGAGGAGAGTAAAGTAGGCTCCGCATCTTCCTCTTACTCCTTTCTTTTCCTGCCGGGCTGTGCCGGGCCGTGCCCTGTGGCGTGGACTCTGTCTGTGCCGTGGGCGCAGTGCCGCCCTCCCCCTGGTCGCGCCTAGCTACGCCCCTGGCTCCTTTGGAAGACCGCATTAGCCCCGCGGCCGCCCCGGCCGGGATTCGAACCCAGGGCCGCCTGTCAGCCTGTCGGGTCGCCGTGTCCCGCCTCGCGCCTGATGGACTTCCCTCCGCGCCGCGCCGCCAAAAGTCGCGCCTTACGCCACACGTTTTGCTGGCGATTATTATATGCCGGGGGAAGGGGAAGGGGGCGGGGCCGGCGGGGCGCGGAGGCGGGCGAGGCGTCACGCTGGACGCTCATTTACAAAGACGCTGCGGCGTCGCGGCGCTGCCGTGTGACCACGTGACCTTGCGCGGGGGAAAGGGGCGGGGCGGGGAGAGGGGCGGCCCTCATCTTTCTGGCGGTGCGGTCCGTGTGGTGTGCGGTCCTGGCGAGTGGCAGACCTGGCCATGTGAACATGAGGTGTCGGCTCAGCCTTTGCGGGAAGTAAGGATCCTCCCACGCCTCGGAACGCGCCGCGCACCGCCGACGCGAACGTTATTGCTGTTTGATTATGCCCGTGCGGTGCGGTGCCGTTTCAGCCTTGTCCATCCAAAACAAATAAAACGGGAAAGATTCTAACCCGCTGTCTTTTTGTTTTTGTTGGCAGCGTCGCTCCCCGGCACGACGGCCGCCCATCAGATGGTGGTGGCGGTGCGGCAGAAGTGCACCCCCGAGGAGGTCCTCAACGTCCTGGCCGACCTGCCCAACCCCCGGCAGGACGCCGAGGTGGAGGGCGAGGGCGCCTTCAACCCCCTCAAGATCGACGTGTTCGTGCAGACGCTGCTCAACTTGGGCTCCAAGAGTTTCTCGCACTCGTTCGCCGCCATCGGCAAGTTCCACTTCATCTTTAAGGTAATTTTTCTTTTCTTTTTGTGACTTCCATTAAAAAGCAAGTAAAATTTTTTGAGTTGCATGTCAAGTAATGGCCTGTATCCTTTTCCATTTTTCAGTCTCTCGCCGAGTCTGAGGAGGCCCAGATCTGCATCCTGCGAAATCTCTTCTCCTTGTGGAAGAACCACCAGCAAATGATTTGTGTGCTGATTGATAAAATGCTCAAGCTGCAAATTATTGAGTGTTCTGCCGTTGCTAACTGGATCTTTTCAAGAGAGATGCAGTCAGAGTTCACCAAGTATGTCCTTTCTCTTTCTTATCTTTAATTTGAGTTTTTGCACATTACAATTGATTACCAATTCATGTCTCTATTTCTCATCTACAGGGTGTATATATGGGAAGTCCTCCACCTGACCATCCGAAAAATGAACAAACATGTTTCAAGACTACAGAGGGAACTGTCAGAAGCAAGGGACAAAATTCGTAGACATGACAGTGATAGTGAGAGCGAGGATGACAGGAAGCGAAGGAGGGAAGACCATGATGAGAAAGATAAGCCATCAGAAGAAATGGTTGAGCGAATGGAAGAAAAGCTGGAAGCTGCCCAAGCTGACCAAAAGAATCTTTTCCTGATCATTTTCCAGGTTTGTTCATGTGCTGGGCTTGTTATTCCTTGTCCTATTATTTGAGGATTAATTTCTTTATTATTTCCCTTTGCAGAGATTTATCATGATTTTGTCTGAGCATCTTGTCCGATGTGATACCGACAACAAAGACTACAACACCTTCTGGTACAAATGGACCATTGGCCGTCTTCAACAAGTATTCCTTGCTGTAAGTAGTATTGCACTCTTAAATCCCGTTTATCTACTATTATTGTTAATCTAACTGTGTGTGTATTTTTTTTTTCTGTTTAGCATAATGAGCAAGTCCAGAAGTACAGCTCTACACTTGAAACCCTGCTCTTCACACAAGACTTAGATTCACATATCATGGACGTATTCCATCAGTTCACATCACTGAGGTCATAGTTTTGCATTCCTACTTGTGTGGTTTGTTTCCAAAGTGACATTTAAATTCATATAAAATAAAAATGAAACATCTTGCTCTCAAAGTCAAATTAATTGAGAGAGAATTATTTGTAAATATTATATCAAGTTTAATGAAATGGCTGAGAATTGTAATGGTATGTTCTCACTATTGGACAGAGAAGTGCTTTCACCTTCACAACTGACTGAGCAGTTGCCATTAAAATGGCATGTTATATGGAGTAAAAATTCATGTAAACTGACTATTGACCATGTAGGATCATGTACTATGGTTGTTGCTCTCCTTCATTTTATTTTAAGGTCAACATTAGCTGTGGCATGTTTCTTTATTGTAAAATGCAGTACTGGAATAAAAAGCAGCTATATAAAATATTGCATCTTTTATTAAAAATACTAAATCCTCTTCCACCATTATGACAAATTGCACGAGCTTGTAAAAAGGACATATCACATGTATCAGTCTTTAACGCAATCAGATTGCTAAAATTATTCATGCACATTAATTGCCCACTGAATTTTTAGTTGCCGTGTTTCTTGATGAGGGCCAGCAAATCTTCAACATCATTCTTGGAGCCCAGGAACACAGGTGTACGCTGATGAATCTGTTCAGGCACAATGTCCAAAATTCGCTTGCTTCCATTTGATGCCATTCCTCCTGCCTGCTCCATAAGATATGACATGGGGATAGCCTCGTACATGAGACGGAGCTGCAACAAGGGACACATGGCAATTCAATTTAAAATCTGAAGTCTTTTTATTAACTGCCAATTTATTACTTAGCGACATACCTTTCCCTTGGGAGCATCCTTGGTGGCAGGGTACATGAAGATGCCTCCATACTTCAGTGTGCGGTGAACATCAGCAACCATTGATCCAACGTAACGAGCACCATAGGGTTTACCATACTGAAAAAAAGAAAATACATTCCTTACAATAATTTAAAAAAACAGACTAGAATATAGAAAATTTGATGGAAAAGTAGTATGATTTCTTACAGCGGGATCCTTCTTTTGCCTCACGTATTCCTTAATTGCCTCATCCCACAAATAGGTGTACCCTTCATTAATGCTGTAGATTTTCCCCTTCTCGGGTACCCTCATGTTCCGCTCAGTCAGCACGAACTCTCCAATAGCCTAAAATCCAAAAATCAAACATTCACTCAACATAACGGAGCAGTAAAAAGAAAAGAAGAAACAGACACAATGAGAGAATTTTTTTTCAAAAAGCTTACGGGATCGAGCATGAAACCATTGACACCCTGGCCGAAGGACAGCACCATCATGGTGGCGCTGCCGTACAGGCAGTAGCCGGCCGCCACCACCTCGCTGCCGGCCTTGAGGACGTCCTTGGTGCTGGGCGGGCTGGCGCCGTCGGCCTTCTTGTAGATGGCGAAGATGGACCCGATGGAGGCCAGGCAGTCGATGTTGGAGGAGCCGTCCAGTGGGTCGAAGCACACCATGTACTTCCCTTGCCTCTCGGTCTCAACCTACCAGCGCAACAAAATTAAAAATCGATTGCTGTGTCCGTATCCAATTTAGAAGGGACGGAACAAAACTACCGATACCCACCACGATGGCTTTCTCGTCCTCCTCGCTGACCAGCAGGCAGGTGGTGAAGGACGACTTGAGCATGTTGACGAACAGCTCGTTGGACAGCACGTCCAGCTTCTTGACCTCCTCGCCCTGGACATTGGTGGAGCCGGCGATGCCGTACCTGAGGGAGGGGCACACAGCAAAGCGGAGCCACTTAGTACTCTCGGCGATGTCGCACCGTCCTTCCATTCCCTCTCGGGATCAGCCCCCCCCCCCTCCCCCTCTTTTTTCCGCACACTCGTGCAAGCTGTGCACGCGGGCCGGAGAGCGCGCACTGCAACTTTCACATCAGCCCCCCCCCTCCCCCACCCCCTGCCCGTGTCATAACAGTGCGGGCTGCGGGCCGCCAATCGGCAGCGAGTGACAAGACGAGTCCAGTCGAACGCGGCAACGCCGGGCAACGCGGCCACAATGCCCCATCGACGCGCAGGTGCAGGCGGAGGCGGCGGAGGCCGCGGCCACGCGCAGCCACCGGCCGGACGGGCCAGGCCGCCGTTGCCCCATCATCGCCGATAAGTGCTCCTGTCCCTCTCGCCCCCATGCGGCGACCCACTGGGGAGCGAGAGAGACAGAGCGACGAAGCACCGTTCGGCATCAGTACTGAACCCATCGTGGTGCAATGATCGGGGGCGTCGGGTCGGGGAATGACAGGGGCGGCCAGGGGGTGCGAGGGTCAACAACAACAACAACTCCCCCGCACCGCAGTGACGCCGGCCGGCTCTTCGGCCACGACGGCCACGGCCACTGGCCTTCTATCGCCGCCGGGCCCTTATCTCGCAGACTAGAGGCTGCGCTTGTTTGTCTCGCGCCTTCCACAAGTTCAAGTTTCAAAGTCCGCGTCTGGGCGATGCGGCGCGGGGGTCTGGTCGGTCGGATCCGAGATGAGCAAACACCGGCCAGCAGGTGCGGAATCCTTTCCCGGCGCCGCGGGGCGCGGAGCGTGGGGCGTGGGGCTCCGGGTGCGACGGCGCGTGGGCGTGACGGGGAAGTCTCGCCTCGAGTCCAGCGGCGATAGTAGCTATCGTCCCGCGAGATAGCGCGACCGTCGTCAAATGTTGTCACAGTCGTCGGGCCAGGCCCTCGGCCAGGCCCCTCGCGGTCAACAACATCCAGCACAACCTGCTTACCGGCAAGGGGGTCATGCAGCGAGGGCCTAAAAATACAGCACGCCGGCCGGCACCCCCACTGCTTAAAGAAACAACGGTGACACAACACACTTACAGGTTGGCGATGCCAGCTTTGCGGACGGCCGAGCTGATGGCCTTGACGGCCGTCTGGATGGAGTTGAGCAGCTGCGTCAGCTCGCCCGTGGCCGTGGGCACCTTCTTCTGCTCGGCCAGGACGAACCTGGTGAGCGTCATGCAGTCCGAGTCCATGACTTGCTGGTTGCTCATGGCGGCGGCCTGGACGGGACGTGGGCTTCAAGACGTGCCGGCGTTGCACCCGATCGAAGCTGCTGCCCGAGTGCGTGTGTGGATGGAGTCGTTGGTTCGGCCTGTGTCGTCTCGCCGGCCGGCGCTGCTTGTGTGCTCGTTGACGAGTCGAGTCGAACCGGCGCCGGCTGCGGCGCGGAGGGGGCCAGGCAGGGGACGGGGGGCGGCGGGGCGGGGGGCAGAGCACAGGAGGGGGCAGGGGGCGGCTACGTTGTTAAAAATAAGACCGCTCGCGCGGAACGCGTTGTTGCTCTGCGGAAAACATGTCATGGTTTTCTCGAAGCAACCAGCACCCCGAGTCGCAGACACTCATTTCGGACCATCTGGGCCGAAAATACGGGGCTTGGGCGAAGCAGGAGTGGGACTGAGTAAAGTGCCGTGCCGGCCTTTCGTCAACGCCAGTAAACATATGCACGCCATTTCCATTCATTAGCTCCACTCGTTCCACTCGTTCGGATTCGGCCGGGAGAACTGGGAATGGGTAAGCACTTCCCTGCGGCACGTGGCCACGCCCCCAGCGCCCGGCACGCAGGCAACCCAACGGGCACGCCACCCGGTTCAGCCGAACAATCGTGCTGGGGCCAGGCACGTCGACTCGCCTGTCCAAATCAAATTTCTGTTTTTATCTGGATAGGGTCCTCGCTCCTGCCTCATTCCCTCTTTTCTGCCTACAGAAGGACCGGTTGATTTGAAAAGCGCGGGTGCCGTGAAAATTGGCAACACTGCTCTGGGCGGCACGCAGTGCCCCAGTCGCACCAACCACCAAACAGCTGACGAGTACGAGTACACACACGTGAACGCCTGCATTTCGTCAAAATGCAGTTCCGTTGACACTTGTACATTTTTGTGCTTTTGAAATTAGTGAGCAAGGGAAAGAAATTTGAGGATAGATCTGCTCTAATAGTTCTACATCTGCGTCCATTCTAAAAGGTTTGTTCAAGGAAACATACACTGCTTGGTTATGTTTTCTATGGTGTTTATATGACATCTAGTGAAACACCACAAAGTTTATGCTTGATTATTATTTGTTCTGTTCCGTCAAGGTATTCTCTACCTCACTATGGGGGAGACATCAAATGATAAATTGCCGTCGCAAGAAATGGAAAATCCGAAAAAGAAACTGCCTCAGAAGAAATACTATCGACAAAGGGCACATTCAAACCCAATTGCTGACCACTGCTTTGACTAGTAAGAATGAACATGGAAAATGGTTTTATCCTTTTCACTTAAAGACTGTGTCAACTTATGAGTTTTGTCTTTGCTTTTCAGCCCAGTCTGTCCTAGTGAAATGGATTGGTCTGAAATGTACCCAGCATATTTTGGTGAATCTTCCTTAGAAGGATCGAATGTGAACAACAGCAAAAGGGTAGAATTTGCTGATGTTGGCTGCGGGTATGGAGGTTTGCTAGGTAATTAATAACGAATCACATTCGTCTATGATACTGTAGACCCTGGAAGTCATACATTTTTCTAACAACATAATCTTACTTTATTTTTCAGTTACTTTATCAACTATGTTCCCTGAGTCGCTTATGGTGGGCATGGAAATTCGAGTGAAGGTCTCAGACTATGTAATGGACCGAATTGCTGCCCTAAGAACACAACATCCTGGGCAGTATCAAAATATTGCATGCCTGCGAACTAATGCTATGAAATATTTACCTAACTTTTTTGAAAAAGGACAAGTAAGTTAATTTTTAGTGTTTAAAAAAAACGCTTAAAAACAGCTTATGTTTGTTAGTAATATACCTTTATAATTTTAAAATTATTTTCAGCTGACGAAAATGTTCTTCTTGTACCCTGATCCCCATTTCAAAAAAGCCAAACATAAGTGGCGAATCATCAATAAAACTTTACTTGCTGAGTATGCATACGTTTTAGCTGTAAATGTAAGTAAAGCTATCCATCTATAGTTTCATATGCCAATAAATTCTCATCATAAAAATGTGTTAATTATCAATTATTTCTTTAATTTAGGCCATTGTGTACACTGTGACTGATGTAGAGGATTTGCACTTGTGGATGAAACAGCACTTTGAAGAACACCCTCTTTTTGAGCCTATAACAGAGGAAGAAAAGGTGGGTGGACACATTTTGTCTGACATTGTGCTTGTCCATTAAGAAAAGCCTACTCCAAATGACATTTTACATTGGACTTCATAAGTATTTGTTTCTTTTCTGTTTCAAGGTATCGGATCCAGTTATAGAAAAACTTTTCTCAAGTACAGAAGAAGGTCAAAAAGTTGATCGCAACAGTGGGTCCAAATTTCTTGCTGTATTTCGTAGAGTTGCTGATCCATATATGTCAAATGATGGATCCTAACATTTAAAACAAAGAAAAATGAAGAAAGAACTAAAATTAATTTGCAATTTAATGTTATGTTTTCTGACAATATATTCTCTACATTAAAAAAAGAAAGATTTTTCATTACCCACCCATTGAACTGGCGAGTGTTTTGAATCTCTGGCGCTTTTTCTGCGAATAAGAGACCGACCACTGTAGGAGTGTTATTCGCAGCAGGTCACAACAAACCAACACAACCATTCATGTCAGTTTAAATACTTTGGCTCAACTTCCCGGGTTAAGACACATGTGTAGTATAGATATTTATTGATTTCTAACTACTTACCTCTGGATGTCATTGCAGTGGTTTCCTCCTGTCTCAGTGTACCGGTACTCGTGACAAGCGAGGTTAGAGGGTACCGGTTGATACAATAGATACCGGTGTCAAACCATGTCCCTTCCCATGGGGGAGTGTAATGTCACTCTCCTCATTCGGCATATGCCGCGAGAATTCTCAGATGATGACAAACTTGAATTCTTACGGCATTTTGGAGCTATGTCAGTGAAGACAGTTGTCGTTGGAGGGGCCAAAAATGAAATAGTTTTCGCAACGTAAGGAAACTCTGAAATTTCTGAATTACATGGATTCCCTCTCTGTTGCTTTAATCTTTGTTTTGTTTACAAAAGATTTCCCACAGCCTCTATGACAAAAGCTGCTCTTCTTAGATTACATCAATTGGAGGTTCTTGGACGTTACCTTATTGTAGAATATGCTCGCAGCTCTGTCTCTATGCCTGTTGATCCAGGGTCTTCTTTTGAGAGGTAGACTCGGATACTGTCTTTTTCCCGTTGAAGTTCTTTGTTTTCACTCAAGATTGTTTGTTGTTCTAATATTTTTCATCTTTTCCCCCCCTTACATTCATAGTAAAACTGAGGCTTCGCTTGATGAAGACAAGAAACAGAGGTTGCAGGATCAGTTCATGCGCCGCTTGGTGTCCTGGAGCAGCAAATTAAATCTTTCCCAGCCACCTCCCAGCCACTTGCGCTATCAATATCCACCCCCAACTCCTGCCACTTTATCAAATATTAGCAGAGCGCTCTCCATGTATCCTCGTCTCTATACCCAGCTCCTTCATCTCATGAACCGTATGAATCTACCTCCTCCATTCCAGGTAGGTTCTCTCAGATGCATCTGTGTACCATTTATTTATCATTATTATAATTTTATACCGCATACACCTTGTGTTTTCCGCCTCAAGGATGGGTACAGAACAAATTCAGCATGTGACCAGTCAACACAGACGGATGCAGTTTGGAGAGAAAAGTCCAGTAGTGAATCTGAATTGGAAAGTGAGGAAGAACAGTTATCAATTACCTCTGACTGCTTACTGTCAAAGAGACCTCCTCCGAGAAGAAAAATAAATCCGATCAAGCGTCCACGTTTCATTAAGCCAACTGTCCCTGTTGAGTCTGCTGCATCTACTTCAATTCCTCTACGACCGGAGGAAGTATTTGAAAAGTCTGAAACTGAAGTGCTCTCCAGGAAGATTGAACTCCGTCTAGTTGGCTCACTTCCTTTAGATAAAGAGGAAAGTGATTTTCCGAATGATCCCTCCACAGCTGACCCAGCTGGGTTTGGTGTGATACATCCTCCTCTTAAGCCTGATAGCAGTGATGGTAACAAAACTGGAGAATCCAGTGAAATAGTCGGTGATAACAGTGTCATAACTGCTGAAGAACTTGCATCAAATAGAATACCTACAAAAGGTTTCTTTATCTTATTCTTACTTATTGTTATTGACCTTGCTGAGCAGTGAACTTTATTTCATTCTCATTTTTTCTTTCTTACCTTTTCCAGACTTGCAGATTTTACCTGTTTTTAAGAATTACTCTCCTGGTGCACCATCCTGCCGCCTTTATGTGAAAAACGTTTCTAAACATGCTGTTGCTAGAGACCTGCACTTCATTTATCGACGCTTCCTTAAATCTTCTTTAGATGATGATGATGAAGCTAATTTAAACATGTCAGTTATTTTTCCTTCTTTGTGTGTGTTTTGCTAAGCTCATTACCGATTTATTATTGCTCTTTGTTTGATTATGCCCTCCAATCAGGTTTGATGTGCGCTTGATGACAGAGGGGCGAATGAAAGGACAGGCCTTTATTACACTGCCAAGTGTAAAGCTGGCTCAAGAGGCTCTCACTGAAACTAATGGCTATATTCTGAAAGATAGACCATTGGTAGTTCAGTTTGCTCGTAGTGCCACTGCTGCTTCAAGCTCGACCTCAACCAATAGGCAGGAATCTTCTTAGTTCCATTTCTTTGTGAAGTCATTAAATTAAATTTATGTCATTCTTGTCATAATTTATTGCTGTTGACCCACCTGAAATGTCTTTGCCATCACTGAAAAACTGACAAACACACAAGTGCAACTTCAATTTATTAAATCAGTAATTCAAAGCACTACAATGAAAGAAAATTCAGTCTCAGCATGAACTACAAAGAAGCATCTTGAATCTCTTGAGAAATCTAGTGAGCAATAAAAAAGAGAGAGTATACAAAGAACAGGTCTCCAGTAAAACAGTGGAAGGAATTCAGGTTAAACCAAATACCATACAGAGAAATGAAATTACATGTAAAAAAGTACAGAAATATCTCAAGTTCTAGAGACAGTCTTCACCAACAAAGCATTACAACTCTGAGCAAATATTTTAAATGTGACAAATGCTTCTTCTGGAATATTTGTTTTTCATAATGTAATGTTTTATCCTATAAAACCACAGCCATAACCATTCTTTAAATCAATCAACTCAAAGTTGTAGACAAATCGCTTTTTGCCCTGAGCTTCACTTCCCTCAAGGAATAATGACTTGAGAAAGGTAACAGAATAATACGAGGAATGTAAGCTATGAACATGCTTGAGTTACAATTTGTAAAGCAAAGAAGCATCTTTGTTGTTTGTAGTACAAAAAAGTTTAGTTGAGCAGGAGTCTTAACTTGCATGGGAACCGCAGATAATCAGTACAGGGGGCAATTTAAATTAATATTTCAGTCGTTGCAATTCGCATTTTCACTTTTATCACATGACTGTACAACATATCGATAAATTGTGCATGATATTCAAATTGACTTTAGTAGTTAAACTAGTGACGAAAGGAAAATGTATAATGAATGAATTGGAGAAAAGAACCTATCATTACAGACCACATCTTAAAACATACTAAGGCATTACAAAACTTTAGCTGAATGTCAAATTTGTTTAATGACAGAGAATATGATAACCAATTCTAATCAGTGCAAGGAAGTGGATTGGCTGCTGTGTTAAAATCTTCAAACAATGCAAGTCTAATTAATGAAGAAAGTTGGAAGATAATACTCTCTTTAGAGTTTACTTTCTTGTGTGTTTTATCTTGACACACACATCTATCACAGGAAAAAAAACTACACTTGAATCATCACTCTGGACAAACAGTATAAAAAACATGAATAAAATATATTTAATGTTGTGACGACATTTGTAGTAAAGATAGAAAAACAAACTAATGTGGCTAATTCTAAAAAAAAAAAAGTTATCGTGAAAGATTTGTTCTTGCACCATTTGTAGGTGATGTGACAGTCTTTGTGCCTGATTCAGTGCATTCCTTCTCTTCATCTTCGGTATCTATCAGTTGATAAAGTGGCACCAATCTCAAAAGCATGTCCACTGCATCCTCACGACCCAGGGAGATCAGAGCACGAGCTAATTTACCTATAAGCAAAATTTAAGACAATATTTTAGAGAATTTGTGCTCCAATGGGTAGGCAACCTGCAGGCATTGTTTGGATCCCTTACCTAAGGTTGCCTCATTATCTTCTGTCGCTGCCCACCGCTCCAGTAACGCACTGGTTTGACTAAGGGTAGGAATTTGAGTGGGATGAGAAGGGTGCACAGCAGCATCAAGGTGGGCAACACTGTCTGTGAGCCCAAGCTGCACAGCTAGGAGGCACCAGTCTTTTCCAAGAGGATCAGAAGGGTCCATCAAAGCACTTAAGGCTCTACGACATCCCATGCTCAACTCCCGAAGCGGTAGTGTTGGCCACAAAACCATCACATCAGCAACCTAAGAGAAAAGAATACGGCAAATAATTGGTACTTCCTCTGGTTTTCTAAGAGAAAAATGTTAAAAATTTAACTTGCCTCTGGTGTATCACAAGCTATAAGACTGAGTAAAGTCTCATCTGCTGTAGAACTTGATTCACAAGCCTCCAGCCATGGGTTGTGCAAACAGACATTTAAATCGCAATCTAACAAAGCCGTGGCAAGCTCAGTAGGGGAAAAGCAATACGGAGTGGCATGGTTCCTCAACTGACGTTGGCTCAAGGCATATCTTTCTAAATGTAGGCTCGGGCAAATTTCAGACATTACCTGTAAAGAAAGGAAAATTGAATCAAAACAATACAAAAAACAAAAGCACACATAGTCAACTACAAAAATAAATGAACAAACAAACTCTAATTTGACTTACCACTTGAACTATGCCAAGCAACTCTTCAATAAAATAAAAGCATGCCATTCCAGTACCCTCTGGACCCCGTACTTTGATTTCAATGCATTCGCCACAAGCTACATCATTCTCAAGAGTAACCATACTCTCTAAAATCCCTGCACACAATTTCGAGCCACGAAACCACTGATATAGATCACACTCAGGATCAGCATACCGCTTGGTTGCTAATCTTAATTGAACCTGTCAATGAATTATTTTAAAATTTTATGAAAAACTAACAGACAAAGTATTTACAAAAATAATATTAAGTAATACATCACATTCTGTGGAACCAAAAATGTCATCCCTCAGGCTAGTTTCTGTATTATTGCAATAAGAATCAGAACTACTTGCCTGAATCCGAGGAAACACAGAATGCAATAAATGTGTTGTACCCGGAGGTGTTTTCAAACGCAGCCCAATGTAGCTGGCACAGTCTCCATAACGAATATCTTGTGAGTCCCATAACCCATCAATAGCCTCAACCATATTGTAACATGGAAACTCATACTCAAGTTCTCCATCATTTTCGCACTAACGGGCAAGAAGAAAATTTGTAAAAATGAATCAATGCAAGAAATATTATCAGAACATAGTACTTTACAATAATAAAACACTTACATGAGTGCACAATTGAAGTTGTTCCAACAACACAAGAAGTTTGGAGGCATCACACTCTGTGAATGCTGCTTGAAAGTCTTCAACAGTGTAACAACCCGTGACACGTGCAAGAGTGATAAATTCAATGGACAACAATTTACCAATAATGTCCTCACACAACCATTGTGGTGAAAGAACAACCACATCTTGAGGTTGCCAATGAAGAATATGGACCTAGGAGTATTGAAAGACACTTGGGTCAGTACAGTTTTTGTATTTTGAGAAGACCTCAAAACACTAACTAGGTAAAAACGGTTGATTTACTTCGCCCATGGTTTGAAGCTGAGCACAAAGTTCTTTCACATGTTCTTCTCCAGCTAGTGGATTTACATTGGACCTCACTGCATGAAGAAAAGTGTCCCAATCCATGACAGGAAAATGCTCATACTGATGAACAGCATTTGGTAACCAACAAAGAGTGCCTTCCAGAAACCCTGTGCATTTTGGTATCCCCTGAAAAAGAATTCAAAAATTAACATAAACACATTTAGGAGCAGACATGGGAAAATTCTACTCTAAAATGTATCAACACTTCAGACTTACAAAACAAAACAAAAAATTAAAAAGAAAAAAATTATGAAAAAAGTGCTTTTCTATGTTAATTTTAGATTGGCATATAACATGTGATAAAACTTGGGTTACACTTCATTTGCTAACTATTTGCGCACCAATTTAACTCCTTTCTATGAACAAACAACAATGGAAAGAGAGGAAAAAAATACAAGGCAGTATGGTATATAATGGACTCAAATCATCTCACCAGGTTTTCATAGAATGCGCAAAACCAGAGGGATCTAAATACAGTACTGTTGAGACATGCTAACATGTGATTTTCTACATCAGCTCTACAAGTAAAATACAGCTATCCATGACTAAAACCTATTACTTTGCCGTATAAGCCATTTAAAAAAACAAAAAACAAGAAACATGTGTAACAATTTCCAAACCATTAAATCTCAGTAAGCATAGGGCTACCAAACTTTTGATTCAAGTTCCAATGCTTTTCAAAGGTTGATAATGAGAGTAAAATGACATGTGAGCACAAAAATGTGTCATCCATACTTTGTGCTCTATGAAATCACCTCAACTACAATTGCACGCAAGGAAACAATAAAATTAGAAAATGGCTACAGAAAAGTCACATCACTTATCAGCATCACTTTAAGTTACCGAAACCTTACATAAACTTATTTCCTTTTTTTTTTCCTAAAAGCTATACTGTTATTTCTGGAAAGTCAAAATTGTTATTTAAATGTACCATTATGGCTACCAAGTGACAATGGTACAAGTCACAGAACAGAACGTGAAGTGATTGATATTTGCTGATGCCAAGAACATGAAGAATGTAAACCATACATGGAAACTATTTACTCTCACACGGCATTGATAACATAATGAAAATGAAACTACATAGCAGGAATAATTTATAGGAGCACATACACTCTGTGCAGTTAACACAAGCTAGCCAATTTGAAGCAGTTGCAATAAACCGGTTCATACAGTCTATCCTACCTGGTGCATTTTTCAACAAATTGATTACATAATATCACCAGCTATATCAATAACTTGTTGATATTCAAGCCCCCCATCCCCTTTTCCCCTCCCAAAACAAAACAAAAAGTGGAATGTGAACCATGTGTGGGGACAAACACAAACAGGACCACAACAAACAGTAACAGTTACATTACATCAGATACAAACCAACTGCTCACAGTGAGATACAATTATCACTGAAATCTACGCATTAAAATTTTAAGTTTAACACACCTCGTAACCAGTGGGGAAAATGATGGGCAACTGTATAGCAGGTACCACAGAGACAGGAAACGATGGTAGCAAGGAATACTCCTTGTGGTTGATGTTGTCGACAGGTATATGGTGATGACTTTTATCATGCTGTGGTATACATAGACATTTACATAATGTAAAGGGCTAAGACATGAAAGATTTCACAAACCAAACATTTATGGACATAAGTTTCTTCACAAAAGTCGTTGTGAAGGGAGCAGTCTACAGAAAACATTTTTCAAAGATCTTGGAAGGAAATTGATTTGACACTCAAGTTCAGTGTACCGAACTTTTTTCCTACAAATGTACTAGATGTAGCAAGAAGTTTTCTTAAGGCTGTAAAAAAAGTGTTTTATTCCCAAAACAATAGATGAAGTTAATACTTACATGAATTACATTCTGTTTCATTTCTGCCAACTGTTGACGTAGACAACGCATAACATTAGTCCCTGGGGCTCTTGCATCCAATACAAAGGGATCAGAATGGATGCGGAAAGTAGTTTGGAACTGCTGCTGCAACTGCAACACTAAGTCCTCTATTCCTGAAGTGAAATAATCGCCATTGGCATCCCTAGGCAATCGTACAGCATCAGGGTGTGTTGCAATAACAACAATCTGCAAAGGATTGCTGATTCGACCGCAGTAGCCTGTAAAAAAATTATGAGAGAAATAAACTCAATCTGGAAAAAATTTGATTGTAAAACTATACTAGAGTACTCACCAATGCTTTGGGAAGGCCGAATGCGAGCCTGTAAAAAGCTTAGCCAGAAGCTTGCTTGTTGGAACTGCACAGCAGGAGTATCTTGTAAGTTAATGACAACTGCATAAATGCTTCGAGTGCATCCTAAGAAGTGATGGTGTACAAGGAAATATGTGTCTTGACCAGAAAAATCCCATAGAGCTAGGTCACCCACACCAGACACAGACACCTGAGGGGGAAAAATGTTTGATGTTAAAGTTTGAAAAGGGTTCTAGACTAAGGGTCGGGAGCACATGCTTAAGTCAAAGGCATTCAAAGTAATCTTGAGAATGGAACAATGGAAGCCAACCTCTTCTCAGCTCACCAGATGTAACCTCAATACAAATACAAACCAGCCAATGCTTTTGCCACTTTTGCATTCACAAAATCTAAAAAGCTTCTAAAGGCTCATTCCATCAATGTGCACATCATCCAATTTAAAATGGCCTACTTCGAAGTTCAACATTGAGCACAAAAAAATGAGCAAAAAGATGAGTTTTCCATTCATCATGAATATATATTAATATCACTACTTTCCAACTCTCATTTTCTTATGACATAAAAAAAGGTGCAGAAAAGCTTCAAAGCTCCCAGTCTATGCTTGAGTTAACTATTTCCACTAAGCTTCATGCAAATGCTAATTTGAATTGTTTTTATAAAAATATACCACAATACACAGTGTTTGTTTATCTGACTATTTTCCAAACATTAACAAGGAAGCTACCAGTGTGTTTGTGGCTTTACCTGCTTAACTGCTATACCCCGAGTATATTGATAGCTGAATGTGTCAAACGTCAAAGAATTACTTCGTGGTGTGATGTCCATTTCAATGTGAGTGTTGTTAGGAGATGACGCAATACCTGAAAATACCTTATAACTGACTTATCTACCCCACCACCAGCGGAACAAACTAATACATAGAGAAACATCAATTTCATTAAAAGATATTTTAAGTTTAAAATTATGAAATTCTATAAAAGTATACCTCAATTATAAAATTAAGTTACTATTTTCATACATGGGTGATCCACCACACCTCAGGGGGAAATGGTGGGTAGCCCCTAAGAGAAGTTATCCACTTGTAAGAAGTGACTTGAACCTCATGATATTACAACTTTTAAGATAGAAAATGATTCTAGCTCAACCTAGGTTACACGTTTAAGATTACATCAGATTTTTAAAAAATGTACAAACCTTTCAATAAGCTGTTTGCCACTGGTAAATTAGCCTTGCCTCTTTTGAACAGATTTGAAAAGTATCCAGATTGAAATGATTCAATGAGAGTGGTTTTACCCACACCTGAATGGCCAAGGAATTTGAAATTAACTCTTGATATAGGCTGTGATGTTGGAACGAGTTGATTTGTGAACTGTTCTCGAAGAACACTCTGCAAAAAAAACAACACAAGTACATTGACAAAAGGAACGGTCATAGAATCTCCCATGTGAGTGATGCAGAATTTCTTAAATCTTACTGACATTTTTTAGTCTGTTTAATAAATCTGCAATTGCATTGTGCCCATGCTTGAGGGCAGTAATTTCAGCTTTAATTCCATCCCCATTTCTTACTTCTGTGTTACATCCAGCTAAACACAAACACCTGGAATGTAGAAACTTGCTGTCAAATTGAACAACAAAAAGATAATCTCAGTAAAACACTTCAAAACAGGGGAGAGTAAAGATAAATTAATACCTTATTACTTCTATATGACCATGAAGAGCAGCTAAATGTAGGGGAGTTAATCCTTGTTTGTTGGCGACGTCTACGTTGCTTCCAAAGGCACAGAGGGTTTGCATGGCAGCCAGAAGGCCTTGGCGAGCAGCAAAATGGATCGGAGCATCACCATCCTGTGCACCAAAGGAATCATCACGAAAAGCTATAGGCAGTGAATAAGTTGCCATATTGGTGTGGTGTACTTGCCCAGTCTTGAACATCACAATCCGCACCAGCATGAAGCAGATACATGGTAACATGGGAGTGCTTTGCAGAGAGAGCTAAGTGAAGAGGTGTGGCACATACTGAATTAGGGAGGTCTAAGGTGGCTCCACTTGCAATGAGGCTCTTTGAGCAGTCAAGATGACCATGAATGCAAGCAATGTGCAATGCACTGTTGCCATCCTGTGGTGTAAATAAAATACAAATTTTGTCAGTTTTGAAATGGCAACAACTTTACTTTTTCAAACTGTGTTAAGAAAAAACTTCAAAAAAAAAAAAAAAAACCTTACTAAGTCTTGCTGATCAATATTAATATTCGGCTGTGAGCATATGAAAGATAAAAGAGCTGCATCCCCTAGATTGCAAGCAGTGTGCAAACATGTTTCTCCTTCCTGCAAAAGGTAAGACTTGGAAAAATCAGCAACGATATGAAAATTAATTGGTATACAGCCCCAAGCGAGAAAAGGAAAAACTGCAGTGAAAAGCTGGAGAAAATGTTACCTTATTAGCAAGTGACAAGTCTGCTCCTGCATCAATAAGTATGCACAAGGACTCCTTATCACCATGTCTTGCAGCTAAAATAGCAGGGGTATCACCTAGACTATTGGCTAGGTTAACATCAGCACCATGATCTTGGAGTAGTTTTAATGCCTCATGGTCACCAAGTCGGACAACAATGTGGAGAGCCCCATCGCCTCTCTGGCAAGAGTAAACCAAAGAGCATATTGGCATTTCTTTACAGAAGTCTGAGAGATAAGAAACCTCAAATGGATTTGATCCACTATCACTTACTTTATTCGTACAATTGATGTCAACTATATTTTGTGAGAGGAACTCTTTAAGATCCGACAAATGTCCGTCTTCAATGAAGCTTAACAGAGCACACATTGCTCTGAGGATTTATGAGACCTATAACAAGAGGAGCCATTGAAACAAAAACAATGCTCACAAGCACTGACATGCCAGTGTCAGAAATTTCTATTTGCTATCATAATGTAATCCTACAAAATTGTAAAAATTGATAGGATTAGTGCAAGTAAAGACAACCTCCGGACAATGAAAACGAGGCGACCGGTTAAATCACAAGATTTAAGCACGTATAATTTGAAAATCAGCCAAACAGTTCAAGTTTAACACAACAGAATAAAGATAAATGAAACTTTAAAGGCAGTCCTGACATATTACCTCACATCTCTTCTGCTTTTTTGACAGATAAACACAAGTTAAGTTCGTTCCTAACTGCTGTAGAATGCGCACAGTGGTCTGTGCGGTCGGTCATCTGTTTATCTACAAAACCGAGACACCCGGGAAAGAACACTCAAAAGACGAGTCATTTTAACTTTTCGTTGAATTTTCTCGACATCTTCTCAGAGTGTGGGAACGTTGTTCAGGTGGAACTAGAGGATGTGTCAAGACGTGACAGGTGGCATTTAGGAACGGTCCCGCGTGACCTCGTAGCGCACTGCGACTGCGGGTAGCAGCCAGCCCATCGACGATAACAGAAGGCAGAAAGATTAGTCATTACTTGTTGAAAGAAAGGATTCGTTGGCGAAAACGGCCTGGAAATGGCCCAACTGGTACGCAAGCTATTTATTCAGCACTGACATGTTGATTTTAACCACAGGGTGGCTAGGAACATGGGATGTGTATCTCGGTGATGGTTTCTTCTGCTGTTGTGTCGCTCGATATTCTCTGTCTCTTTTAAATTCGCCTATTTTATAAAATGGCTAATGACCTTTGAGGTTCCGCGACAGTAATTATGAGTTTGGATATGATCTTTACTGATGTATTTGCTTTGAGTTACTTGACTGTTAGAACTTTGTTTTTGTTCACTTTAACCTAGAGCAAATATGTACTGTTGGAATTGTTCATTCATCTCTGTAGGCGGCTTTCGTGCCATGGCGTCAGCCATAATGACATTCATTGTTTTGGCTTCCTTGCTTGGAGCATTTTTTTAATGGTGTCAATGCTTGATTATACATATGTTTTGTTTTCTGTTTTCAGAGGATGAAGGCATGGAAATGCCCCACCGACGAGTTGTCGTTGTCAAACTGTGCCATTACCAACCCTGGGGACTTTCCTGATGATGTGAAGTAAGTTGTCACTTGTACTTTAAACGTTAATTTATTTTATTTTATAGTAGTATCTTGCCTAATCTAATTGTAATTCTTCTCAAGGCACATTGAAGTTACAACTGGCCCTTCCCAGCACTTTGTCTTCACTATCCGAGCTCACCATGAAGTGCCTCCTGGCTGCATTGGATTTAATTTGCCTCAGCGCAAATGGGCTTGCCTGTCTCTTAACCAGGAAATAAATGTTCGCCCGTATTACTTCAATGCTACCTCCAGCTTGGAATGTCTGAGCAATGTCACTCTGGAGGCTGATTTTCTTCAAAAGAAGACGTGAGTCTGCTTTTCTTCTAATCAAGCCGCCACCTGATATTAGGACTAACTCTTGTATGTTTATCTAATTTATCTTAGAGTGACCACTGAGCCGTATGACACAAACCAAATGGCAAAGGAGTTCCAGATGCAATTTACTGGACAGGCCTTCACTGTGGGACAGCAACTAGCTTTCAGTTTTGCTGGAAAGAAGATGTTGTCAATTGCCATCAAAAGTCTTGAAGGTAAATTTTGTGCTTTGAATAACATCTTGATTGTCAAACTGTGAACAAGTCTGCTTATAGCAAATTTTGTTTTCAGCTGCTGACCTCAATGCAATCAAGGCGGGACAAAATGCCAAGCCAGTCCCTACCAGAATGGGAAGGCTTTTGGCAGACACCTCCATTACATTTGAAAAAGCAGAAAACTCCTCCTTGAATCTGGTTGGAACAGCCAAGGGGTAAGTTAGCAGTGAAGCTGGTGATCATGAGGTTTAGTAAGGGCAAATTTGCTGCCTTGCATTCAAAATGAATATTTAAAAAAAAAAAATCCATAATAACTGATAATATGGTTCTATTTCAGAAAAGTTGTGCGCCAGTCCATTATCAATCCCGACTGGGACTTCCAAAAAATGGGTGTTGGTGGCTTGGATAATGAGTTCAATGCCATCTTCAGGCGAGCTTTTGCATCTCGTGTGTTCCCACCAGAAGTAGTTGAACAATTAGGATGCAAGCATGTTAAGGGTATCCTTTTGTATGGACCCCCTGGTACTGGTAAAACATTAATGGCGAGACAAATTGGAAAAATGTTAAATGCAAGGGAACCCAAAATTGTTAACGGACCTCAGATTCTTGATAAATATGTTGGTGAATCTGAAGCCAATGTGAGGCGCCTTTTTGCTGATGCTGAAGAGGAGGAGAAGCGACTTGGCCCAAACAGTGGTTTGCACATTATTATTTTCGATGAAATAGATGCAATTTGCAAGGCTCGTGGGTCAGTAGCTGGCAACACTGGTGTTCATGATACTGTGGTCAATCAGCTTCTTGCCAAAATTGATGGCGTGGAACAGTTGAACAACATTCTTGTGATTGGTATGACCAATCGTCGAGACATGATTGATGAGGCGCTCTTGCGGCCTGGCCGTCTTGAGGTTCAAATGGAAATTGGTTTACCGAATGAAAATGGACGGCATCAGATTCTTAATATCCACACTGCAAGGATGAAGGAATACAAGAAAATCAATCCAGATGTTGATACAAAGGCATGTATTAGTAAAAACAAAATTAAATCTAATTTTGCTTTGCAATTTTCTTTGGTGGTTGGAATCTGCTTCTTCTTACTGTTTGCTATTCTTTTCAGGAATTGGCTACTCTCACAAAGAACTTCAGTGGTGCTGAACTGGAGGGTTTGGTTCGTGCAGCTCAGTCAACAGCCATGAACAGGCTAATTAAAGCAGCCAGCAAGGTTGAAGTTGATCCTGAGGCAATGGAAAAACTTCTTGTTAATCGTGGTGACTTTTTACATGCTCTTGAGCATGATGTCAAGCCTGTAAGTCTCATTACACTTGAAATGTTTGAAATTATCCAATAGAACTGTCCCTTACTTTCATTTGGGTGCTTTTCTCTCAGGCATTTGGATCCAGTGCTGAGGCTCTTGACCACTACCTTGCCCGAGGCATCATTACCTGGGGCACTCCTGTCAGCAATCTTCTTGAGGATGGCATGCTACTCATCCAGCAGGCCCGCTCCACAGAATCATCAGGCCTTGTTTCCGTATTGTTAGAAGGTAACAATATTTTAAGGTTTCTTTCAAAGCGTTTTCTTTGGCTCTATTTCTTCTGTAACCAAATTCTCTCTGCTTAGGTCCTCCAAACTCTGGAAAAACTGCTCTTGCTGCTCAGTTGGCCAAGAACTCAGATTTCCCCTTTGTCAAAGTATGCTCTCCAGAGGAGATGGTTGGATTCACAGAATCATCAAAATGCCTTCAGATCCGCAAGGTAAGTAGTATGTGAGCATAAAAAAGTTAAATGCTGTTAAGGAGGTTATTCTAATCTATTTGCATTTGATTGTGGGATTTTAGTACTTCGATGATGCTTACCGTTCAGTGTTAAGCTGTGTTTTGGTGGATAATATTGAGCGTCTACTTGATTATGGTTCGATTGGACCTCGCTATTCTAACTTGACCCTGCAAGCACTTCTTGTGCTTCTCAAGAAAGAGCCACCACGTGGACGAAAACTGCTTGTTTTGTGCACTACAAGTCGCAAGTGAGTATTTTTCTAAAACCTCGTTCATGATTCTTCACACATTTATCTGTGCTAATTATTTACATGAATCGGCTTGTTTACAGGGAAGTTTTGAAGGACATGGAGATGCTATCCTGCTTTACTGCAGTGCTGCATGTCCATAGTCTGACGAAGCCTGAGCACTTGACTGCAGTCCTGGAGGAGTCGGCTGTCTTCAGTCCAAGAGAAATTCAAGACATAGCACGCAAACTTAAAGGACAAAAGTGAGTGATTGTCAACTTCACTGCAATGAGTTTTACTTTATCGTATACTTTTTATTTATTTAAAATATTCTTTAAAGGCTGTTCATCGGTATCAAGAAGCTGCTGGCACTGCTTGACATGGCTCGTCAGACAGAAGAGCAGTATCGTGTGGTCAAGTTCCTGACCAAGCTTGAAGAAGAAGGAGGCCTGGACTCCGGATCAACTCTTCAGTAATCAATGGAGGATCTCTTAACAATGATGAAGTTTTTATTGTTGCTTATGGAAGTATTTGCAATGTTACTTGTAATCAACCAATGCAATATAGGATCTGTGTTTTTACAGATCATTTTCCATTTCTTTTGTTTGCTCAGTGCATTTGTCCTGTGTAGTGCTATGGATTTTTTAAAATTTGGAAGACCTCTCTTGGTGAAATTATAACAAAAATGTGTTTCTATCAGAGATTTAGTGTTACTTGAGCTAGTCATGCCTTGGCATTTGAATGCTCTGATTAATTTATTGTTGATTTGATGTAGTAGAAAGAATTGCATTATGAAGGAGTACAAAGAGCAACTTTTAGCTTTGTTGTGTTTTCATTTATATTAAATGATTTTTGTTGCATTCCTTGATTGAAGAGGAATCATTTATTTAATCTGGTTTACTGGCTAACCCTGTTACCTTTGAGGTTGGAGAAACTTAGTACGTATCAGAGTCCTTTTTATATCACACCCTCAAATTATAACACCATAGAATTTAGGGCTTCTTTGATACTTTTTTTAATACGTTTTGTAACTAGTTTGTGACTTAATTGGCTTGTTGTATGTTTATTGTTTTTTATTTTGGTTTAGTTATAATTTTAACGTTGCATTCATCAGTATTTTCCTACTTTTTGCTCTTAAATGTTTTTATAGACTGAATGTAACTTCAGTAGTCCAGAATTAATTTTATTTTCTTGTTCCTATGCAATGGTTTTGTCTTGTTCCATGATTAAGTGTCTGTTGTATTATTCTTGGAGATGTTTTTTTATTGCTATCTCTGTACTCTTTCTGCTTGTAGTGTAGTATATTACTGTGGTGTCCTCTTGGTATCTATCAAATAGGTGTCTTATTGCTGCAGAGCACCATTCTTTGCACCTTCTCTTGAATCTCTAAAAGTATCTTTGCACTATTAGTCTCAACTCTCCTTTTGGTGTCCTACCAAGAACCTTTCTGTGCTCTCTTGGACCCAATTGCTCATTAACTACACTTAATCGTGTTTTTCTGTTGAATTTCTCTTAGTTTGTTTTCAGAACTAGTGTGAATACTGTTGCCCTGCAAGCACTGTTGCACTAATCACCGTACTTTTAATCAAGAAAGATAAATGTTCGTATCCCATCTAAGATGCTTTCTTTCTGCAAGGCCTTCCTTGTATACCGGATGTATTTATGTGTACTTTCTTCTTCGACATCTCTTTCATCCCTTTGTATAATTGCATATGGCTGTTGTGATGTGTTGTTCTGGTGGTGTTTAGACTTAAAACTTGTTAAAGTTATTAAAAAATTTCTGCGGAATAGTCTTAAATAGTGAAAAGTTGTCCTAGTTCTGATTATTTTGATCTAAAATGTTCAAATTGTGTGGTTGAGAAGATTGGAGGAGACTTGAGGGAATTATTTCAAGTCTGGTAGTTTTTTTGTGGCTGGTGATAGTGTTATCCACTGCAGTTGTTGGTAAGGTTGTTCCCCTCTTTGTGTTGATCATTGATTTGGCTGTGGTAGCAGGGCTATGCATTTGAATACTGTGTAACATTGTTAATTTTAGGTTTATAATTTGTAGCAGCACATGTACTTGTCAATTTTTGTAGCTTTTCTCACAGTGACTCAATCCCAGCATGGTCTGGCTCATGTATTCGAAAAATCACAATGATGTGATTGTTCAAGGGCAATTTATGTCAATTAAAAACTTGTCACTTTTTGTTGCATGTGGACATGACCCACATTGTTACTTACTTCATTAGCAGAGCTTAAAGGATTTTTAAAATTTGGGTTTTGTTAAGAAAATTGCCTAAATGTGCCATTTTGAAATAGGCTTGAGGGAACATTTTTTAAACATATCTAACTTGGGTTTGACCCTCTTCCCTTGTGCTAATTCCTCCATTTTTGCTATCAAACCATGGTTGGTGATCATGTTTGCATTATAATCCACTCCTCGTAATGTTGCATTCCAGAACTTGCACCTATATTTCTTCCAGCCATTGAAAAAAAAATTCATGAGTAGTTTTAAAATGATTGTAGGTTGTAATTACATTCCTCATCTTAACAACTCTTCAAAACTATTTCTTCACTGAAATTATAAGTTGGTCAGCATAACACATGTGTTGAAGGTGGGGCAAAACGATAATATTTTCTGTTTATGAATCTCTTGTACCCACTCACTTGATGAAGAGGATAATTTTAAACGTATCATTCCACAAATGCTTTGTGTTTTTGTGCTTCAATCCTTCCAGTCAGGACTGGCATTGATGAGTTTCTGGTGCAGTTGATGGTTTCTGCTGGGTTTCAAAACTATGTGTGCAGGCATGTAGCCTTTATGCTATGCCCTATTAAAAATCAATACCTATATTTAAATTTGATTTATGTTACTGGAAACACATTACACCAAATACTATTTCCATCTTTAAATGTCAAGTTTTATTGTATTTATGTATCTCTATGTATGCATGATGTTCTTTGCACCTGTAGCTCATTTAGGGGACAACATAGAATCTATTTCATTGAAAACTAAAATTATTTTAGCAGTAGAGTGTAGTAACTGTCTACCAACAGGGGCAATTGTAAGTTCAGAGAAGCTGCCTGTTCTCTCAGAGGCTCTCTCACGGACTAGAGATTTGATGTAAGGCAAGAAGATGTTTCTGTAGCTTGAGTGTGTAGTTTTATATTACTTAACCAACCACAACCAAGTTATTTAATGAGAAGATTTTATGAAAAATTATTTTACTTGTTGACTGCCATGTGACAACACATGTGGGCACATCCCAATCTGGCTTGACAGGACTTCATTAATAAATCGGCTTGATCAATGTGTTAAGTTGCTACATCTGATGTGTTGAAACTTTATGGATGTGGGATGGTCTTGAAATTACTGCTAATGTGACCATGTGTGTGGTAACTTTGCAGTCAATGTAATAATCTGTTATGTGGTGGATAGTCTGCTCCCTATCTAAACATGTAATCTTGTGAAAAATTTAAAATGGTTTTAGCTTGTCAAATAATACAAACAGACGGCATGTTAAAAGTGTGGGCTTTATTGTTTATTTACTCACTAAAGTCATGTAAATATTGTTTCCCTGATCAGATTGACATCATAATGTTACTTTAGTTGTGATATTATTTTTTGCAGAGTAATGTATGAGTTAATTGAGGAGCTTGCAAACACATGCTCTGGCTTTAACTTCTCTGCGAGGCATTTAACACATCATGTCCAATAGAAGTTAGTGTAACATTCTCTTTTCTTTGCAAATGACTGCTAAATTGTTATTTATTAAATAATTTATGAGGAAATAAAAATGTTATTTCAAGAAATCTTGACTATATTTGCACACACTTTTTCTAACAACTCATCTATTGACATGGTTAGTGACAACATACACTTAAACACAAAAATGAACTGACAGTAGTCTTTCTTAGAGTATTTGTGCATTACATCGAAGGATAGCACTTAACAGTAGCAGTCCTTTAAATCAAAGGTGCATGGAACCCTTTCCTACTGCTAAGGGAATGTGACAAAATACCACAACATGCAATATGGTCACAACACCAGGGCAAAAAACAGAAGACAAGCTCAACCCTAAAAATTTGAATACTACTTGACATGACTTTGGTAACAATTTTACGCATTCTCAACTAAATCTAGAAAAACATTAATAGGGGAATATATTTTTGGAGGGATCCTTGACTCAGCTTTTCGACATGTTGGTTTGAAACAAATAAATAACTTACCATTAAACAAACCTGTCATGTTCCAAATCTGAGTCCAGGGCCCCTTGATACTAATGTAAAAAGTACTCACAAGATTAGACACACTGACAGTGAGGAAATCTAGTGAGTACAAAGAACCACTACTATTCTCACAGACAACTGTAAAGATACAGTACATTAAAAGAGAGAAGACATAGTTTTGGAGCCTCAAGATGAAAACTACACATTGTAAAATACAAAACGATACAAACTAAATCTAAACTGAATAATTTAAAAGAAAATAAATGAAGGTAATCCAGAAAAGTAGATCTAAAAACAACAACATTGCCACAAGATTGAATTTCAGAGTGCATACAGCAACACACAAAAATTGAAGTACTGTAGTGTGCTTTGAATGAATTTTAAAATGTGAAACACTAGCATTCCAGAAAAATTTCCTCCTGAGATGAGATCATTTTGTTTAAAAAGATGTTCTAAACCTACTTCTAATATTCACAACATAAATAGGATCACAACCTATGAATAAAATCACCAACATACAATGAGTGACTAGTACTCTGAGTAAACCAAAATTTGAGAGCATACCTGGTTTTGTATTTTAAAAACTAAAGAGCACAATGGAAAACATTTTCCTCCTTCATCAAATGCTTGAATTAGTGTGATCACATTCTGACGATTTGCTCAAAGAAAACTCTTTGTCTCTATACATCATAACAATGTACAATATGGGATCTGACTTTGATATGAATTTAAAGGTACTTGAATGCAATTACAGTATTTAATATGGTTTTTATAAAGTAGATCTTGACATGAGACAACTTGCATGTTTCAGTTTGAATTTGTATTGAAACTGCTGAACTCTAATATTTGAAGAGATCCAAAGAAACGCCATACAGATAACACTGGATTTAGAGTTTAAAAAGGCATTATCTGCAATACTGACAAGATCAATGACAACCAAAGAGTTCCGACGTTTGATGGATAGATGTTTTTAAGGATGCCCCATTTAATCTGATTTTTTTGAACTTGTCTTGGAACCTCCTACAGCATTCAATACAGTTGACTTCCATTGATGAAGAAGCCCTTGTTGTTTCATACCAGGAAGCAGAAGAATAAAAGTCACTGAAACAGAAACAAAGCATCTTTAAGGAATTATAATGTAATTTTCCTGCTGCTCTTATAAGTTCTTAATTACGTCTAGTCAATACAATCCTTAGAAGTGAAAACTCACCAACACAATAGGTAAAGAACAGGTTGTTGATCATGCCTCCAAGGAAACTCAAAATTATCAGGGATGTGATGGTTATGGCATAGTACTGCAACAAAAGCAAAGAAAAATGTTTTAAGTCGATGCATGATCTTCCAAAAGGGAATGAGAGGAACAGAATTAAAATAAAGTATGCTTACTGTTTTAGTTCGAGTGCTGCGCATTTGAAAGAAATTTTTAACCATTGACGCGATGATTGCTTGAGTGGAAACCACATTGTGGCACACTTCTTCCAATTTCTTTTCATCTTTGCCGGTCCATTTGTCACCTTGTTCTGGATGTCTTGCATATGAGCCGATCAAATGAATTGCATAGTCACAAATAGTAACCACCAATCCCATCAGAGCTAGAGTGGTCAAAACACTTGGATCCAGATACCAAAACAACCTGTAACAGAGTAAAATTAAAACTTGGAGTGAACAAAAAATTTCCCACATATTGCAAAAAAAATAATTACACCTACAGAAAGAAAACCGTTGAAACTCCACCAAGAAGACCTGGGTGCCATGGCTTCTCCCAAACAAGGACTGCATACACAGGCAGAACCGCTTCACGCCACAACTCCAACCGTCGTTTAAGTTGCTTCACCTGTGGAATTTCAGAACATCAAAAATAACTACAAACTGCGTAGTTGTTAAAATAGATCACAGATGAAGAATGCTCCTTTTACAAACTACAACATCACATTTTAAAACTTCTCAGTCAAAATAATGTGACAACCGATAAAATGAATAGTGAAAAAAACTGAGGTGGAATGTCACCCCAGCTAAATTTGACAGATTTTAGAATAACAATCATGGAAGAGAAGTTTGGAGAAAAACTGGGGGGAACGGTGGGCGAGGAGCTCGATAAGTCAAACCCGTCAAAACCTAGACCCCTTTTGCTTCAATATTCGATTGTTCAAGTACTGACGAACTTTACCTGATCGGAGATGCTCGGAGCGTTTGCTGACATGATTGCAAGACTGGGGAAGATGAATTGGCAAAGAGCAGGAGTGACTTAATGAACCCTCAAACGTCTAAGCCTTTGTTTACGTTTTTGACCCTCAGCGTCATTCGTGAAAGGAGAAGAAGAAGGGGAAGAAAATGCCGTTTTTCTTTTGTTTAACGAAATTGCGTGGGTAGGTTGAGGCTAGCGATGTGTTTGTATGAAAAATTACTCGAAAGTATGCCTCACTTGATTCTTTCAGAGAATGATAGAAATGGTGAAACTGAACCGATGATTGATCACTGATACAGTTTCTTTTTAATAATTAGGAAAAATTGACGAGTTTACATGGTGAGTGTAACTCCGTAGCGAGCCGACAAATCACAGAACTCAATCGTAAACACAACCATCTGACGCGCCGTTCTGCTGCCGAAACTTTTCATAGAGCGTTCGGCGAGTCTCGCGGTGGGGTACGCTGGGGCTTAACGATCCGCGGGAAGGGGGAGGGGGACGCGAGAGGGGGAGGGAAAGGGGAAAGGGGGTTGTTGGGGCACTTGCGCACTTGTCCTTGTGAGCTTGCAGCAGTAGGCAGTAGCAGCGAGCAAGTCAGCCTAGGGGCCCGTCGGACGGGCAGGGGCACAACGTCAGCATTGATCAAAAGCCTTCGGCTGGCCGACGGCCTGACGGGTTCGCGTCGCGTCCATCCGCCGCGTCGGAGTGTGGGAGTCGGAGTCACGGCAGCGCGACGGGACGGGAGCTGCAGCCTGTCTTCTCCCGTGAAAGTGGTGCCGCCGTTCCTTGTGTGTTCGTCAAGATAGTGATGGTGACGAGGGTTGACGCTAGCCGCGAACAAGTGTGTGACCGTACTGCAAGCTGTCGTTGTCGTCGTCGTCGTCCTGGACGACGGCAGTCGCGTCTGTCCGCCAGGCGCGGCACGGCGAGCACGGCGCCCAGTGCCACAGTGTTGACTAGTGTTGCCTCGCGGTCGCGGGCCTAAATGATGATGTATCACAAGGTGGCGGGTGTGACGACGGTCGTCAAGGAGAAGGAGGCCATCCACTCGGGCCACTTCATGGTGTCGCACTTCGAGGCCGAGGAGCAGGACGACGAGGATGAAGTGGCGGTGCCCGTCCCCGACGAGGACGTGGACGTCCTGGACGCGGCCAGCAGCAGGGCGTCCATGGCCTTCACGCCCTCGATGCGCCTCTTCCAGCCCCTGGCGGCGCCCCGCCACGGCCTCGGCCTCGACGCCCAGGGCGGCCAGGGGCTCGGCGACGTGGGCGGCGTCGTCGCCACCTTCAAGGAGCCCGGCCAGCACCTGTCCATCGAGACGTCGCTGTCCAAGCTCTTCCAGTGCATGTCCCTCGCCTACAGGTGAGTGCTGGCAGTGGCCAGCAGACGAGGTTAGGTTAGGTCACTCAATGTATGTAAACACCCCCCTCTTCCCCCTGCCACCGCTTTGGTGGCTTTTGAAGAGGATTCTTTGAATAAGATGGTAGTGCTGTGCTACTGTATGTTAGTCAGCCACTATGATGCTGGTTTGTTGATGAGAAGTTTTGTTGGTTTCAACGACAAGACTGTGTACACTCTGGACTATTGATTGATAGCTTGTCTGTCGCTATTCTTTTGAAATATTAGTTTTGCTGTTCTTTCATGAACCTTGCTTGACTCGTTACATTAATTTTCTCTCTGTTTTTTTTTGTGGATTTTTTCAACTTTTTATCCTGGAAGCCTCGTTTGTAAAAGAGTTTAGAGTTAGCCCAACTGCGCAGGCCCCTAAAGGTCATTGCCATGAGCCGATGGTTGTGAGATTCCATTGGTTATTGCTTTGCTGCCGCTAAGCGGAGTGAACAGGCATTTTCAACTCAATATTATGTGTACAGATTAAAAACCTGAGAAGTTAAAAAGATTTAAATTGATTGAGATTTGTGCATGGACAGTAAAACAAAGAGCATTTTAATGTCTTTTTTTATTTCCCAAATGACTTATGGCCCAACATGTTTTTTTCGGACCCTTGTCTCCCTTCTTCAAAATTTTTGACTGGGAGTCAAAGGGTCATCTGTAGCCCGGCCCGGTCCGGCCGGCCCGGCCCGCCTGATGTCCGTGCAGTATCTCTGCCTCTCTGCCTCTGCTATGATAGTTGCTCTTGCCTAATTGTGGAAGCCAATAGATATCGAGTGTCGCCGCCCGGCTGCTATCTGACTGCGAGCCGCGCCGTGCCGTGCCGCGCCGTGCCGCGCCAAGCCCCTCCGCGCGGTCGTGGATATGCTGTCATAAGTGAACGTCGCGACGCTCTCGCTTGTTTGGGAGTTCCCTCCCTGCTGGCGTAGTCCGGTCGTTGTTTGTAGAGGGAAGTCAGGCAAGGGGTTCCCCAATCCGAGCATCAAGGAGCTTTCTAGGTGTACCTCCAGTCCTTCCAGGACACTTATCTTCAGCTGTCCTTCTGCCCCGGGCGCGGGTTGCCATGTCAACCAGGAGCACCTGGGCTGGGGTGCACTGGGGTTCGTCTCTTTGGAACAACAAGACTGCCCGGCATGACCCCGCTCGTGCTTAGCAGGCTTAGCTTGCTTACTCAGCCACTCCTACGGAACAAGCCTCTTTGGTGCCAAATTAAGATTATCGCGATTAAGGCGAGAGCAGGAGGAGTCACGACGGCGTGCCTCCCGCTTCGCGCTTCGCCTCCGTCGAGACCGTTGTCCAGTCCGGGCAGTCCAGGCCGGCACGTGACCGAGCCACTGCGCTTTGGGGCCCACCACGGCCCGCCAGTGGCGTGGAAGGGGGCTGTTATTATTGATAACCCCCTCCACCTTGCCCTGTTATTTCTGGCCAGTGTCCGCGGTGGAGGGGGCCAGGCCGACACCGGCGGCGGAGCACCGAGCACCGCGGAGTGCCTGTGGGTGTGCAAGGAAGCTGTCGAAAGGGTTGGCGCTGGCCTGGCCTGGGCAGCGAGGTCTAGGCGACGGACGTGCTCGGTCCGCGGCGCGCCGGGTCGGCCTGGTGGAGCTCACCAAGTGCGCCTCGCGCTCGATGTCCTTGACGGGCCCCGGCCTTGCTCGGCCCGCCCCGCCCGCCCTCCAGGGCTGCCCATCATCGGCCACCCTCGGGGCCCGTCAGCCCCTCAGCCCTCCCGTGGCCCTTGACGGCGGTTCGCGTCGGCGCACCGCCCAGGTGTATAAATAGGGAAAGGGGGTGGGGCCGGTCGACCCACCCCCCCGCCCCGCCCCGCGGCAGTGCGACCGCGATTCCGTTTGATTCGGCCGGGTCGTGTCTGGTCGTGTCGTAAACGCTATCGCTGCGTCGCCGTGGCCGCGGTCCGCGGCGGGTCCGCCGTGCGACCTGTTGCGAAGGGGTTTGTTTACGGACTGCGAATAGCGGCCAGGCGGCGGTACCGCCGAGGCATCGCACGTGGATCGGGCTGGGCGGGGCGGGCGGGGCAGGCGGGGCCACCGCCAGGTCTGCCTCTGCCAGCCCGGGGGCCCGGCCCGCCTGCGCGCCAGCCCGCCAGCGCGCCAGGGCCGCGCTTTATATTGCAGCGAGTGTAGTGTATACAAACTCGCGCCTGGCTTGCTGCGCGCTGCGCCGCGCGGCGGAAATTTCCGCGCTCCGCTTTTCGCGGCTTTTGGGCTTGCGAATCGCGAGGCACGCGCCCCGAGGAAGGGAGCGAGAGCGCCGCCGCCTTTCCTCGCTGACGTGCCTGACGTGCCTCAGACTGTCTCTCTCGCACCCGCACGGCACGCCCCGCGAGTGCGAGAGAGACAGAGCGACGCGCGGCATCAGCTGGCCGGGCTTCCGTCGGCCGCGGCGAGGGTCTTGTAGCGGGCAGGGATGCCCCGCGCGAGAGTGTCGTTGTCGAGGCCTTGGGGCCGTAGGCGGTAGGTCGTCGCTCTGTCCTCTCGCACTCATGCGGCGTCCCGTGTAGGTGCGAGAGAGACAGAGCGACGACTCTCGGAATCAGCCGCGCGGCGCGACGCTGCGCTAAGCTGGGCGAGGCGCGAGGCGCGAGGCGAGGCGAGCCCCCGCCCCGCAAGGTCAGGTTCACCTGCACTGCACTGACTCCGAGGAGGCGTTTCGTCTCTGCCGCGCGCTGGGTAGCGCTGGGCGGTCCCGTAAGAGTGCGAGGGAGACGGCGACAAGACGGCGCTCTTCGGAGCGCGGGGTCGACGCGGACGTACATACACACGGCCGGGCGGACTGACAGACAGCCAGGTAGCCGGCCCGGTGTGTTTTACCCCTCATCGCGAATTCGTGGGCCGCGAGGCGCGAGGCCCGGCCTTGCCCGGCGACGAGGAAACTAAAGGTTTGATTAATGCCGCGCTGTGCGACGCGGTGCGACGCGCTGCGATCGAGCGACTGGAAGACCAAGTCTGGACGGGCGGCGCCGTATTTGAATAAAATAAAAGGATGGCGGCTCGGCTTGGGCTCGGCTCGGCCTGGCACGTCGTTCTGGCCGCCAGTGGGGCACAGTGGAGCGGGTGCAACACGTTTGTCTGGTCGACTCGCGGGCAGGCCGACCGACTCACAGTGGGCCAGAAGGCCGGTGGCGGCGGCCAAAACTCTAGACGCGTTTTGAGCTCCAGAGCCGCTAAACAGGCCTCGAACCGAACGTGTGACCCCAGCCATGGATTGGTCTCCGGACGAGGAATCCATTGGTGGGGCCACACGTTCAGTTCGAGGCCTGTTTAGCGACTCTGGAGCTCAAAACGCGTCTAGAGTTTTGTCCGCCTCCACCGGTCTTCTGGCCCACTGTGCGACTGGCTGGCTGGCTGGCTGGCTATCGTATAGTGGTGTCGTCGGCGAGGAGAGCCGCCGGCCCGGGCGGGTGTCCTTGGGCCTCTCTTGTGTCTTGTGTGCCTTTTGCCTCGCGCGCCTCTCTCCGTCTCTCTCTGTCTCGCGATGTGCGGATGCGATGTGAGCGCTGGGGTCCACAGCCCGGCAACACACCCGCTCGCTTTTAATTTTTAAAATTCCCGCATGCAGAGCAGCGCGTGTTGTCTGCGGCTTTTCCGGTGTACACGTCATCGTCGGCGCCCAATTGCTCCGTACTGCAGTGGAGTTGTTGTTTATTGCGGCCTTTCACGAGCCGGGTGATTCCGCACAGTAGCTCTGTCTCTGTCGCACGCCCGGGGCGCCCCGTCGGCGACACTGCCGCGGGATGTGTCCGCTGCGGTGTCCTGGACCTCTCTGCCTCGTCATCGCCGCGCCGCGGCCCACGCCTCGACGCCTCTCGGCTTAGGACTACCGTGCGCAAACAGCAAACATCTGCCGATAGCAATTTTGTTTATTGTCCGCTTTCGGTTCGGGTTTTTTTTTGGCGACCGAGTCGCCCCGTCCTCGCGGCTCGACGGCGGGCCGTTGCTCCCGCGCCGAGGAAAGTGGAGCCGGCGTGGGGATTTGAACCCGAGACCGTGGACGCCGAACCGTGCGTAAAACCATAACCGGGGCCTCGAGCGTGGACGCTGTAGAGCGGAGAAGGCATAAGCTGCTCCTCCGCCCCGCCCCGCTCGTTACGTAACGCATTGTGTTGTGCACGGTTGTACGTGTCGTTGCTGTTTACTCTACGCGGTTCGCGGCAGGGCGGGGGAGGGGAGGGGAGGGGGCAGCGGAGGGCGGGGCCAAGTGACGATACGAGGCGCGGATGCGTCGCCTGTGCAGATGTGATGCCGTCAGATGCGCCTTATCGTCTTCGCTCTCTCCGTCTCTGTCTCTCTCTCTCTCGCCGCCTTTGAGTCTCGCGTCTCCGTCTCGCCTGCCGGCCGACCGCGTCCCGCAACTTGATAACCTGATAAAGGGGAGATGAGTTGAGTCTAAGTTGGTGGCGCTTGTTGTTTTTCAGTCGCGCCGCCCCGTTCAGCGATCCCCTTCCGCTGTCCTTCCCCTCCCTCCCCTCCTCCCCTCCCCATGGGATCGCGTGGGGCAATTACTCTCTTGGAGCAGTGACCCACCCACCGCCATGCTTGGCGTTGCCGGGCGACGCCGGCACGGCGCTCTCTAGCTGCTGGAGCTGCTGTTCGTCGCTCCGTCTCTCTCGCACCCGCACGGCGCGCCCCGCGAGTGCGAGAGAGACGGAGCGACGAGCGAGGGAGTTGCCGGGGTTGGAGCGCCTGCGAGGTAGGCCGCCCCCGCTCCTCCGCGCAGCCGTGCGCTGGGGTTGCCTAGTGCGAGCCCGGCGGGCGGCGGCGCGGCGGGCCGCGGCAGGGTTGCTGCTGCACTGTTTACTCCGCCTTCGCGTAAACGCCTAGGGTGTCCCAACGTTCCTGCTGGCTGGTTTTTCTTTTTTTATAGAACCCCTTTCCGGGGCTCGGCAACCCACGGCCGCGGCTGGGAGTCGGTAAAAGCTGTGTGCGCGAAAGCTGTGTTCCACCCCGTCCTGCTTA